CAAGACCTCAAACCTCCTGACAATCCAATTTCCATACTAAGTGACACATGGACCAGCCACCACGACAAGATGGGCCAGACTATGACAGGAGCAAGAAGAGTCCGGGAAATCCCCACCTGTCCCAAGAAAAGACATGAAGGTTCCCCTCCTTCGCCAGCCTCTGCTCCCCCCATTCCCTTTACCCTTTACCCACGATACCCCCACCCTGGCAGGTTGGGAAGTCTTCCGGGGGCTGGGCCCCCCTTCTCCGGGCTTTGGGTGCTGAAGACTTTGGGCCCAGCTCCAATTTCATTTTTGGCTTCAGGACACGGCGTAAAAAGAGATCTTGCATTTGGGGGTCTGCCCCCCCCCCAGCAAGGGGGACCAACCAGTTGCTGGGGACATTGTGTGAGCAGAGCAGGAAGAGATGGGTTGCCGCGGTTTCTTCTAGGTCATCCGAGGGAGGCAGACTGTTTGGGGGGCTGGAGGACCCAGGTGAGCTGGAGACCCTCACCTCACCAGTCAGGGGAGGCCCTGGTCACTCTCTGTGTCCTTTATTTCACTCCCCTGGGTCCTCCCTCCCTCCCCCCTGTGCACTCCCAGACTCCGAGGCCAGACTCCGTCTCCCGCTGTGGTCCTTCGCCTTTGGTGTTTGGGGACATGGTCCTTCTTTGCGTCAGTTCTTCTCCCACTGTAATCCCACCTGCCGGAGAGCGTCCAGAGAGCCCTGGGCATTTCTGGTCAGCCGATGGCATCCTCTTCATCCTGTCCGGCATCATTGAAAGATCCCATTCATCACTTTAGGCCGTTTCCAAGAAACGTGTGTGCAGAAACAGAAAACGAGTCACTCATCCACCTTCCTGAACAAGAGTTTCTGGGGCCTTCTGCACGTGGTTCCACACAGGGGAAGAAAATCCAGTAACTCTTTGGAGGCTCTGTCTGCTGCATCCCTGAGCCTCCCCGGGAAGGGACTCCGATGACTCTTCTGTGCACATCTCCCTTCCAGCCACCGGGAAATGCTGTGCCCTCGTCGATGCACGGCTCCGAATGGGGCAGTGCCACACCTGCAGGAAGTCCCAGAGCTGGGCCAGCAGTGGAGCGGCTGGCTACCAGCCCCCCGCCAGTCCAGGTTCATGGTGGTGGCTCTGTTCACGGCCTCCGCTTTGAGGCCCAGTGTTCTTTAAACCCCTTCCAGATCCAGGGGACCATGTCAGACGTGGCGTCTGGACGGCCCTGGAGCAGGCGCCTGAGGAATGGAGGGATGGGGGACGAGGACCACCCACTGTCCTTCTCGCCTCCAACGGCCCGAGGACCTAGAGCCTAGACGTGACTCCGCATGGTCACGTCTCCCCTCCTGCATATGACGACACTCTGCATCTGTCACTCCTCCTGGGGACACTCGAACTCCTCACCAGAGCCTGCAGCAGATGAGACGCCTGCTGACACGCATCGCATGCTCTCCCTGCCTCCCCTGGCTACTTCACACGTGCTGTCCTTTAAAATCCTAAGGGACCCCATCAAGTGGCTGTGTGTTGTGTCCCCTTGTTAAAAATGAGGAAATAGAGGCACAGAAAGGTTCGGGGACTTCCCCAAGGTCACGCAGCTATATCACGTGACGGAAGCAGGATTCAAACCCAGCACTCTGGCTGCAGAGCCCACCACGTGACCAGAACTGACATCGCCCTGCTGAGAGTCTCTCCCAACCTTTCCCAAAGGATACGTGAGGGCTGGCACGTGACCACAGAGTCAGTGGTCCCTCACGTACCATGCCACCCTGCAGCCTTAGAAGACACGCTAGAGTTAGGTTAGGGTTAGGTGCCAGTGAGGACAGGGGACTGTCCCCCAAGACGTAGTACACACTTAAGTCAATGGCCATTTTATGGCTGTGTTCCCAGTACAAAGAACACGTGGGTCTGGAAATGAAGGGTTGAAAGGAGGACTGACCTTCACTGCATTATTCCAAGTGACCCACTTGGGGGAATCTGTGCATCTTCTAGGCTCTGGGAGTCTAGAGGCCTTGGCTCCCAGGGAGGAAAAGCTTCTTCCAGAGGATACCACAAGAGTCTCTTTAGAACCTGGGTGTGGGGGCACATGCCTGTAATCTCTGTGACTTGGGAGGCTGAGGAAGGAGGATTTCAAGTTCAAGGCCAGCCTCAACAACTAAATGAGACCCTGCCTCAAAATTAAAAAATAAAAAAGGGCCAGGGTAGAGTGCCCCTGGGTTCAATCTCCAGCACCCCCTTCCCACACACACACACAAAGTCCTTAGACTTTAAGCAACAGCGCCATCCAGTGACCTTGGGCTCCTTTTGTCAAGATATGAGCAGGCAAGGAAAAGGGTCGCCATTCACTAGCCAGAGAAAGTAATCCCAACCAGGCACCAAGGTGATGAGGCTGGACATTTCCCTGCTCAGTTTTGATTGATTGATTGATTGATTTTGGGTACTAGGAATTGAACCCACGGGTGCTTAACCACTGAGCCACATCCCAGCCCTTTGTATTTTTTATTTAGAGACAGGGTCTCGCTGAGTTGCTTAGGGCCTTGCTAAATTGCTGAGGCTGGTCTTGAACTCGCCATCCTCCTGCCTCAGCCTCCTGAGAGGCTGGGATTACGGCATGTACCACCCTGCTCAGCTCCGTGCCTGGTTTTGTTGCTAAATGAACAAGTGCAACAGTTATGGCCCGAGAAGAGCATGCGGACCAGGGACTCAGACCCCTCAGGCACAGAGCCTCAGTCACCCCGCCAGGCAAACCATCGCCATCAGTGAAGGTACTGGCCAAAGCTGAGGGGAGTCTAGACTGGGTGGCAGAGGAGGGGACAAAATGGGCATCTCGGCAGCTACAAGACCAGCAGCAAGAGCAGGGCCTGGAGTTTATCCTACTAATCATCCTATGTCAATCTCCGCAGCAAGAGAGAGCAGCCAGACCGCAGAGAGACGATGAGCTTTTGCAATAGAACAGGTTGATCCAAGAGGTGCAAGGGGTGGCCGGAGGTGGATGCCGTGCTGTGCCATACCAGGTTTCATTCCTTCAGAAAGTGGAACGACAAAATTCCTCACTCCCCCTTCATCCTGTCTCCCCTGCTAGATCAGGAGTCCTGAAGTGCCTCCCCTGCTCAAGAACACTCAGTGGCTCCCCGCTGCCCACAGTCAATCCCTTTGGTACGGCATTCAGGGCGTTTAGCAAGCCTTCCCTGGCCTGCCTGTCAGACTTCAGCTCTCAATTCCCATAGCTCTCATCCCTGCAGCTAACAAAAACTGGGCCAGTAGCCTTCCCTAGTCACAGTTATGGCTTCACGTATTCATGTAGTTCCCTTCACATAAAACATTCTACGCCTTCCCTAAGTCCCCCTTTGAGTGTCCAGTCCTTTACATCCTTCAGAGCAAGGCAGCAAGCAGAATGGTCAGCGTCTAAACTCTAGAGTTATAAGACCTGGGTTCACACTCTAGCCACTTTGTGGCTGTGCTATCTGAACCAAGTTCCTTGACCTCTCTGTGTCTTTTTACTAAGAGAACTTAGTTCTCTCAGTTACTAAGAGAACTTACCTTTTAGGGAAAATTGAGGGATTTACAGAGGTAATCTGGGCAAATTGTTTAAAACAGCACCTGCCACAGAGTAAACATGAAATACTGGATAATTGTGGGGTATTTTTTTGGAGGGGACAGGGGACAGGGGTGGGTGTCCAATATACTTTTTTCTATAATGCGCCACATAGTAAATAGCTCAGCTTTTGAAACGATTTGATTCTGTTGCTGAGGTACACAGACAGTAGGTCAATGAGGAGTGTGGTGTGTTCCAATAAAACTTTATGGATGGCGCTGGTCAGTAGGTCTGCCATAGTTGCTAAGCCCTGTCTGGCCCCTGGATTTGGGCCCAGCAAGAATGCAAAGCCTTCCCTCACTCCCCAGGAGAGAGCAGCCTCTTATAACAACCCTGAGTACCTTAAACTCTAAGAGCAACCACCAGACAGTCCAGCGTGGCTCCCTGCCCCATCGTGAGGAGGGCAGAAGGGGCAGGAGGCCACACTCGTGGTAGTGACCAGCTTGGGTGCCGCAGGCAGACCACCCGGGTTCTTAGTGAGAGCCGGGCAAGGGATTCACCCTCTGAGTCTCAGATGGCTATAAAGCGATAGCACGTACCCTCTGGGCACCCCTGTGTCAACTCTAATGTCCAGACAATGCCAAGTCTGTTCTTTTTATTATGATGTCACTTTTGTGACCTTCCAGCTATTGTGTGGTTGCTGTCAATCATCACAATGATGGTATTCTATTGCTGGATCAGTAGCCTTCCACCCCCAAGGCCATGACCACACCTACAGCTGTCCCTTGGATTCAGTGGGGAATGGTTTTAACACACACGTGTGTGTGTGAGTGTGTGTGTGTGTGAGTGTGTTCCAGGGATTGAACCCAGGGGCATTTCACCGCTGGTCTATATCCCCAGCCCTTTTGATCTTCTAACTTGAGACAAGGTTGCACCAAGTTGCCCAGGCTGGCCTTGAACCTGGGATCCTCCTGCCTCAGCCTCCCAAGTGGCTGGGTTTCCAGGTGGGCACCCCCACGCCCGGTCATCTCCAGATGACTTACGACACCCAATACAAGGTAGATGTGATGGCAATGGCTATGACGCTCTGCTCTTTAGGTGACAATAACAAGGAGAAAGTCTGTCCATGTTCAGTATATAGATGCGATTTTTTTTTTCCAAATGTTCTTTAATGCACGATGCAGAACCCGTGGATAGGGAGAGTGGACCAGCTGACTGGCGACCCGGCTGGATGGTGGAGCTGGGTATTTACTTACGACTGGGGGACCCCTCCGATCCCAAAGCCCACCAGGCCTCGGAGCACCAGGATCCAGCTATACACAGGCGCAAAAGCACTGAGGATGCCATAGTAGAGGGTCCAGAGCACGCTGATCTTCAGCCCCTGTGGAGAAGGAAGACGCCAGGTCACAAGGGCTTCTCAGCACGCCCAGGTGGCCTGGGCCACAGGAGCTCTGGCTGGAGCTCAGAGGTAAGCACTTGCCTAGCACAGGTGAGACCCTGGGTTGGATCCCAAGGACCACACACACACTCAAATAATAATAGTTGGGCTCGGTGGTGCACACCTGTCATCCCAGTGGCTGGGGAGGCTGAGACAGGAGGATCACGAGTTCAAAGCCAGCCTCAGCCAAAGCGAGGCCCTAAGCAACTCAGTGAGACCCTGTCTCTAAATAAAATGCAAAATAGGGCTGGGGATGGGGCTCAGTGGTCGAGTGCCCCTGAGTTCAATCCCTGGTACTCCCCTCAAATAATATTAATCAAGCTCCCAATAAGGGAAGGCAGTGTAGCTCAGTGGTAGAGCAAGGCGTAGCTTCTGTGAGTCCCTGGCTTCCATCCACAGCACCCATCCCCCAGAAAAAGCTGTAAATAGGATCTCAATGAAGAATCATCACCCACATTGGCTAAGAGATGCCTGGGGTTCTCTGTAACGGGTGATACCAATCCTTAAGGGCATAGTGAGAAAACTGTGGCCATTCTTGATTGTCCCATTGATTAATATTTTATGCCAATCATGGCCCAAGGGTGTCAGCAACTCCACAAGGCAGGAGACAGGACAGAACCATCCTGTGTGTCACAGCAATGTAGAGGTCCTGCCCACCCCAGCTGGCACACAGGTGAGACTGTTAACGATGATCTGCACCAGGACCTTCCCACGGAGTCAAGTAGGGACAGGGCTGGGGGGACACACAGTTCACACACTGGCTTTTCTAAGAAGGAAATTCCAAGTAAAGCAAAGGAAGTTTTACTTTCTTTTTTCCACAACAATTTGACAACATCATTCTTTTCAGAAAACCATGTTGTGATGATGACACTAGGTAAGATATTTGCATCACGAAAGGATGGCTTCGGTATTAATCTGCACCCACCAGGGGTTCTTCATGAACAGAGCGAAGCGCACTTTACTGCACAAAGCCAAAGAGGATAAGAAAAAGCTTAGAACACGTTAGGGTAAATCCAAACTCATTTATAATTAGGGGCATATATTGACCAGTTCCTTGTACCGTCTACGTCAAGCTCTATGTGAACACTTGCATGTTGAAAATACATCTTATTTTATGTAATGACCTTTAAATTTTTTTTCCTTACTTGAAGCATTAGAACTTGTCATTTTATTAGAGTTTGTGAATGATTGGATTATTTTATCTCTGAATCATTATCTGGATTGTTAAGAAGGCATTTACCATAGATTTAATCTGGAATGTCCTCCAAGGGTTGGCGTGTGAAAGGATCGTCCTAGGTTGTGGAACCTTTAAGAGGTGGGGCTTAGCAGGAGGTGAGGCTTAGCAGGAGGTGGGGCTTAGCAGGAGGTGGGGCTTAGCAGGAGGTGGGGCTTAGCAGGAGGTGGGGCTTGGAAGGAGGTGAGGCTTAGCAGGGATGGGGCTTAGTGGGAGAGGGGCTTAGTGAGAGGTGGGGCTTAGTGGGAGGTGGGGCTTGGCAGGGGTGGGGTTTAGTAGGAGGTGGGGCTTGGCAGGGGTGGGGCTTAGTGGGAGGTGGGATTGGAAGGGGTGGAGCTTTGTAGGAGGTGGGGCTTGGCAGGGGTGGGGCTTTGTGGGAGGTGGGGCTTGGTAGAAGGTGTGTTTGGCGGGAGGTTTAAAATCATTGGGGGTGTGGCCTGGAAGGGACTGTGGAAGCCTGGTCTCTTCCTCTTCCCCTCTCTCTCTTTCTGCTTCTCTGCCATGAGGTGACCAGCTCTGCTCCACCAAATGCTCCCCATCATGATGGGCTGCCTCGCCACAGGCCTAAAAGCGAGGGGACAAACTGACTGGGCACCAAAACCCCTAAACTGTAAGCCGCAACAAGACTTTTCTCCATTTTTTTTCTTTTTTTTTGGTGGGGGTTACTGGGGATTGAACTCAGGGGCCCTCGACCACTGAGCCCCATCCCCAGCCCTATTTTGTATCCTATTTAGAGACAGAGTCTCCCTGAGTTACTTAGGGCCTCGCTGTTGCTGAGGCTGGCTTTGAACTCGTGATCCTCCTGCCTCAGCCTCCTGACCCGCTGGGAATTACAGGCGTGTGCCATCTGGCCTGGCAACCTTTTCTCTTTATAAGCTGATTTATCTCAATCATTTGTTGCAATAAAGAAAAGCTGACTAGGGGCTTGCTGAGGGCCATTACCAAGTAGGTATGACGCATCGAAATTTCCTTGCCAAGCGTACCCCATGCTGCTTAGAGGACATTTGATGGAACATTGCATGCATGCTTTAATA